ATGTAGAAAAAAGTAGTGTTTCCATTTAAAAAAATGTAAGTTGTATTGCGCATGCGCACACTAAAAGTGTTGAAAATTTGAAAATCATAAATAAATGTGTATTTAAGTAGAATCTTTCATTCAGTGAAAACCCCATTTCAATATAAGGTCATYGTTCTGAAATATTTAGTGGTACCTCTTAGCGTGATCACACTGTGTATTAAACATTTCTATTAAAATTATATTAGAGTAAATATAAAGAATGTGAATAAGAAAAACTGTTTTTGATATTATTCTTATAATTTTAATTATTTAATTTTTTTTTTTTGTCCTCAGTCCAATGGTTACGTACATTTGTTTCAATCTACATTTGAAAGTATCTTTTAACACTCATAATCAATTATCATTCAGAAATATTATAGGTACTATTTTTCTACTGGAATTTAATTTTTTTCAGATCATATAGAATTTAAGTTTTAGGAATTAGCTTAGATGAATTTTACTTATTAAAAATGTCAAAATGTCAAATGAATAAAATTAGATGAGCACAGTTGAAAAACTTAAAATTAGTATCAGTTCATACATAATACTGTAAATATGTATAGCTCATATAAATAATACATGTAATGTTGATAAAGTAAATTTTTGGAGTTAAGTTAAGCTACAAAACAAATACACTCAAGCTTAAACACCAACGTAATCTTACGATCTACATTGAAAGATACCCAACCAATTTATATAAGATATAGTTAGAAAAATGGCAGATAAAACTATTAAGTTTAATGAATAACCCATAACTATTAATTTATCTAAGTAAATAGTACTATTGTAATGATTGGAAGTCACACAAATTAAGTATCCTAAAAACATAGAACACTTACCTACACAACATTAAAAAAATGTAATATTTGTCGACAAATTTAATGAAAAATTGAGTATTCAATATCATTATTTCTTCCTCTAAATTAAAATAGTATTATAAGATAAAATACAAATCCTGAAAATTGTGTACAACAAAGGATACTGGTTTATCATCGTTGTAATTTCAGATTCATCTGGAATGGCAGTTGTTGATTGACTTTCTGGTTGTTCGTCTTCTTTGAAATTTTCATTGAATTGATCGACATCAATCTTTCTGAATGCTGAACTTCTTGTGTTTTCAGACATGATGAACTTGCGAACTTGAGGGTTTTCGAGCAAATACTAAKGAACAAGACAAATAAATAAGTAAATGTTGAAATTTTAATCTTACTGATAAAGTGATAGCCACTCAATACACAAAATACAATTGTTAAATGTATCAATCTAATAATACGTGATTTAAAAACGTAGAAAATACATTGGAATACACAATCACTTTTATCATTTATATTTATTGGCCACTCATATGCYGAGTAAAAMAAATAAGTAATAAMTAAAAAGTCTTTATAAACATTTACCTTAATGTCTTTTTTTTTAAACCGTTAGCACCGAGCAATTAAAATAAAATTATAATGATCGTTGATATTTCCACCGAATTGTAATTCATAGATAAAGACCGCACTATCAAGAACGATAATGTGAGATAACAGTATATGTCATATAAATAATATGATGATCTATTGATCTAAGATTATAATTTGATACTTTGATTTAAATTAAACTATGTTAAGCTTCTGTCGTAGGTGTATACAAGGTTTTCAAGAAAAAATATTCGATACGTATTGAAAATTCAGTCCTATGGTTACGGGTCGGTACATTTCGCTGGTAAAGTGGTAAACCACACAATATCAATATTATGTACCTCATTAAACGCTGAATAATGAACCGATACGCCATACGCATCGATACATTACAATTTTCTTCTTAAAAAATCTTAATATAATTTTATAAGTTTTCAACATCGCTGTCCATGCCTCCATGGCTCCCGTACATATTTAACCACTTGGCGCTTATCACTTTCTAATATGGCGGTAACTCCAATACTGAATAATGTATTGCCTACATAAATCTTAAAAGGGGTTCTAATAAATATATTAGTCATATTTATTATAATATTCAACATTTAGTATGTAATAATGTATACATAATAAACTAGTATAATAATTAGTATAAAATATTATGTTTATAGTATCAAATAATAATTATATGTGGCTTGGTGAGGCTGCTACAGATCACAAACGTGTCCTGACTGTCAGCATTGGCCATGGCACTAGTTCTAGGATGTGTGACGGCCCATGTTCTTAGTGACAAAAGCAAATCCTTGCCACACATACACATGTTTGAACCTACTAAATAAACCGTTCTAACCATACCATCTATAATCCCTAAAATAGCTAATGGCCATAGTTGCAGACTAGATCAATAAAAAAAACAAATTAATTTGTATCAGTTATTTTTAAGTAAGTTTTCAAAAAAATATTTATATTATTTCCATTATAATTTTAAAAATAAATATTAACCTACCTATTGAAATATATTATTTATGTTTCTATAAGATAGAAKTAAGACATATAATCTAGTTATACAGTTTACAGTTGCTTGTGTGCTTTTAATAGAATAATAGATATGAGTTATACATATTATGAAATTTCAAAAATATTTAATAAAATGTTACATTAGTCCGTAACTTTTAATKGAGCAATTTTAAATATTATGATCATAATTTGCTATGTATACTACCAAATGAAAATGTCACTAATGGGTGGCTGTTTTCCTCAAATGTATCATGTATAATTTATTGTAAACTATTTTTATTTTTTATATGTTTTAAGTTTTAATACTATATAATATTATATCCTGTATCACATTTACTCATTGTGCCATWCTCTACACATTGTAAATTTCATATAAAAATAAAAATAAAGGAKGCCAAAAGAAAATAGACATTCAAAAAACTCAAAACATTTTTAACAATCAAATCAATGTCTAATTTTCAAATTACAAATCATTTTAACTTAACAAATGAACATATTAAAAACCAAGATCTATTTAACCATCAAATCTACTTCACAAATTACCAGACTTGCTTTACAATCATGTATAATAATACAACAACATAATTTGAATAAAATAAAAAGCAAATTTAATGGCAAAATGCTTTTAATGACTTTAAATTATAATATTTTCTCAGCTCTTGTTTATAATTTAATATCTATATTATATATTATATAGTAATACAGTTTTAATTTTAGATTCTGAACGAAGTGATGAATGTATTGATTTTACAATGATGTGTTTTTTTTT